AAAACCTTTTTATGTAAATRAATTTGTTGTTGTCTTTAGAAACATCAAACATTCTTTCATTCATCATTTCACAGAATACAAAGTGTACTTTATGACTGGTTACCATGGCCCCGCTTCGCGCGCTCAGTTTCGTATAATTGGTGAAAAGGGTCAAACGTTGTCACATGTTATAAGCCCCAATGGAGGAGAATTTCGAGCATTCAGGTAAAATTGCATACTCGTTCAGAAAGACACTTTTTTTTCCAAGTGTTGTCTTGTCTCCTTCATGCAACCACAATTTAGAATTCTTCGTTCGCAGGTTACGGCCATCTTGGAGGAACTTTAACAAAGGATTTCTCATTAGTATCTATTGTTCATTCCTCCAACATGGCCGCCGGACTTTTATCTTTTGAATCTCATGGCAATGGTTGAAAACGATCAATTCTTATTGGCGTCAATTTTGCTTGGTTACCCTATGTTACAGTATTATACTCTCATGGTTTTTGCTGATCAACGTCATGTAGTCAATACAGAAACGATTATTTATCATCATATCAAACAATTGTCTAACGTTCGCGCGGTCTACCTGTGGTCTTTGGGGGATCCCTTATTTTCAAGGATTGGAGGGGACTAGGGCAAATTTAGAATTGCCGACATGTTGAAAAAACGTTTTCTCTGCAAATTCTGTAAGTTTTAGCCATTTTAAAGCACTGAAAGGTGAAAAACGTGCTTCCTTATAAGGTAAGATTACTATATATGGTTAGCAAGATTGGAAAACGAAATAATGTCTCTCGGAAGCAATTGTTTGATATGGTCGATACAGAAATGATCATTTATCATAATTTTAAAACCAAAGTAAGTCGGCCCTTTTTTCCCCTCTAATGAATAGACAATCTGCAGCGATGCTGTAGCAAAGCATGATGGGAGTTTTAATTCTTTGCGATTTTTATAGCCCCTACAAGATCTACTTAAATGGACTTTTTATGGTTTTCTTTGTAGAAACGGCTAAACATTTATTTCGCAAAAAAAGTCAAAAACGGCTTAGGAGGACTGTCCTAGTGGACATGAAAAATCACAAGGATAACAACTCCCTTCATGACTTCTTGCACAAAATGACGTCACTCACATTTCTATTGTCTCTTTGCAGTAAGAACATATTCACTATAGATGACAAAGACGTTGGTAAAGTAACTGCAGTYAAGGTCTATTTTAAGAGTGGCATGGACTGGCATATCCGAAAGGTAGAAAGAAGAAATAGTTCATCAACATATGTATGCTTTCATTTGGAGATGTGTGAGCTCAAATTAGACACCAAAACTTTTTCCTATAAGCATCGCATAATGCAACCTGCGTAAGTCATCCTCTCAAGATGGCTGCAACTCTGATATTAAGGGGTATCTGATAAAGGGTTGTTCTAAATTCCTACAAACGTTGTAGCCTTGCTGCAAGGATCCTTACACAGGTTGCATGCAAAAGTTTCAAGMAAACGGTTTGGCGTCYAATTCGGCCCTTTCCATTATGGTGCTGACAAAAATACCGATTTTAGATCCATTTTAATTTTAATTTTAAAGTGTTAAAACACTTTCGATGTTTGCAGCGCTCTAATCGCCACTTTCCTATCGCGGAACTAAAATTGTATGTGTAAACAGCCCTGAAATTGTTGTGGCGATGGAAAATCGCCGCGAAGTTGGTCAAGCATGTTCGAAACTCAGGCGATGGTCGCGAAAAAATCGCCGGTGTAAATGGGTCTTTAAACTCTGTAAATTTCATGTAAATTTTGTGTAAACATCATGGAATTACATTTATACAAATTCTTGACACTTACATAATTACAGGACATTTACATGATAGTAACAGAGTTCAATGCGACATGGTTTTCTTTATGCCATGAAATTATGACCCGGTAATGTACAAAACAACTGTTCCTCTCACAAAAAAATGCACAAGAAAATGTCATGATTACTTATTACATTGAAAATTTGCATTTTTTCCGAGTTGACACTATAGAACCCTGTATTTCCAMGAGACCTAAGATTAAGCCTTCTGGAAATACAGGGTTTTAGCCTCTATTCGGCGGGGAAATTGCAAGTTGCTAGCGCTATTGTGCTTCCTTTTTGTAAGGTCTTTGCCTAAGAGAATCTACTATCGAGTAAAAGAGTTGTTATTTGCTTTGAATTCGAAAATGAAGTATTCAGACTTTCTATTTCTTTTTTAAGGTCATTGTTAGAGCCGGCCGTTTTTATACTTTTAGTTATAACGACGTGGTCTTACCTGGAAAATGGACGACCATTGCAGGTATATGA